TTGAAGTAGGTAAGAACGTTCGCCCAGAATGTTGGATCCTCGGCCTCAACGTCGGGCATGCCTTGTGCATACTTGTAGTACTCTGTGATGAAAGACGGCGCTGCTGAGATCGCATTCGAAACCAACATCACGGAGAATCCAAAGAAGAGGAAGGCGAGGTAGACGACGAACTCCGAAAAGGAGTGAAATCCCAATACCGCCATTGTAGTGTGTAGGTGTATAGGTTTTTTTTTTTGTATTTACGAATGTTTGTGGGGTTAGATAGGGATGCTTTTACGTGTAGAAACTATATAAGAAAGAAGAAAAAAAAAAACGGTTGTACATCATTTGTAGTTGTTATTTTTGTATAGAGTAATGTGAGTAACGTTATGGGCTAGGATGTCCGAAGTATAGATATCATTATAAGAAAACGAATATCTGGTATAGATTTTGTCTATGTAATAAAGTAATAATAACTCTGTAGATTGTACCGTTTATACTGTTATTGCCATTGTTGGTAGCCGTGGTGCCCGTTTTTCCTCGTGTGATAATTAACGTTATTATTTGTAACGTATATTTTATTGTTGTAAATAAGATACACAAGTTGCATTAGATATATATATAAAAATAACATTAGTGTATTAAAATATCTGTACTACTGAGGTTATTTATAAAAAGCAAAGGAAATCAAAACTTCTGACAGTTTCTATTTGAATTATGGTAACTGTTTAAAAATTTATGATGACAATTTGTCGTTTTATTTCTGGTTTCAAATTTATTTTTTATGGCGTTTATTACGACCGTTTACGCGACTTTTGGTGTCGTTTTCATCATTATGTTCTTTTGTAATTTTCACACTTTGTTTGTCTTCCTTTTCCAAGTCTATTAATGAATCTGGTGTTTTGTTAATATTATCCCGTTGACGCTTCCCTTGATGTTGTTTGACATCAATCCCTTTAGTTTCTGTTTTTGTATGGGTGGCATCACTCTGCTCTTCAACTGTAGTGATCGTTTGCCGTGCTGCGGAAGTATCACCTTCATGAAAGTCTGTTGGTGACCCTGATTTCATTGACTCGCAATCAGTTTCCTTTTCAACACGAAGAGTATAGGTTTTGAACAGAGGTTCATTCTCTGGCTGTGCCATACGTTTCTTTACGGAGTTGTCGCCGAGTGAGAGGTCTTCATCCTCTATGTAGTCAATATCAGGTGCAATTTGCAATTGTGTACGCAGTTCACGGGAACTCAGGCCCATCCGCTTGGATATGTGAAATTCCAGCGAGTACATGTTATCTGTCCACCGATTAGCCGCCTCCAAGGCAATCGTAGTTGCCTCCTTTATCTTTTTAATCATAGGTGCATCAAACACGGCGAGTTTCTCTAGCTTTGACTCAAGCGTTTTCTTTTCCCCTTGCAGTTGAAGAATTTTCTCATTATCTTGTCGCACGGACTCTTCACTACCGATTTCTGCTCGAACTTCTTTGATGCGTCGACACACCTCTACTTCTCTTTTCTTCAATGTTTCAATCTCTTCTTGTATTTGGGCAACACTCATATTTAAATATTTTTCTGCCTCTGAAGTACCACCACTGCCGCCTATAGTGGCAGCCAACTCTTGTGTAGCTGTCTTTGGAAATTTCCAGAAGAGAACATGTATGCCTACTTTCTTCTGTTGCACACGGTTTTCTGAAACAAGAATTTCCAGACATTCTTCAATAGACTGTGGAATAACACCTGTAGCTTTCGGTAATACCACAATTAAGTCTTTTAGAGTGTATGGTGAAGGATGAGAAACGAACCACTCTTCTATCCGTGACACTTTCTCATCCATTGAAAGACCCTTCTTCTTTCCTGCATTGCTCATTTTTTTTTTCTCTTTTTTTTTTTTGTAATGAAGCGAGGACGGTCCTTCTTTTTTTTTTTGTTGTTTTACAATCGTCTTTATTTTCATGATGATTGTCAAGGAAATAAAAGTGATAAATGAAAAGGGAAAGAAAGTTATTTGATATATCACAGTTTAAAAAAGCGATAAAAACTCTTAATACATGTATTTCGTTTTGTTCTTTCTTTCTTTGACTCGAAAGACTGAAACTTTCCTGCTACATAGTAATAAAAGTAATATAGAATTCGATAAGATAATCAGTTCTTCAACCATTCAAGTAAATAAAAAAGTAGAAGAAAAAAAAATAATAATAAAAGACATTCTAATATAAGCTTAAAATAAAATAATAAAAAACAAGGTCACGGAGATAATCATATATTTCCCTCTTCTACTGTAGATATTCATTTTCTTAAGTTCTTTAGTTCTGTTGGCATCTCAAATGTAGACTTGTTCGTTATGGTATTGTAATATATAGTTCTCCCATCAGGGGCAAGAAGTTCTCTCCACTCATTCCTCTTCACTCCGCATCCATGCAATCGCTCGGAAACTGTCACTTTATTGCCCTGCATCTCAGCAACTGTACGAGAAGCCAATACATTTGGACTAGACATGACTCTCTCCTGTTTTGTTTCTTGTCGACCAGAAACACCGGAAATACCAGAAGAAAAAGAAGAAGGAGCCGTAAAAGTATGTGATCTAGAGTTTAATGAGGGAACCTCTTCTTGTTGTTTTTGAAGTTTCCTTACTGTATCAGGAGACCAAGGTTCTGAAAGAGAAGGCGGGATAACACCTATAGGCTTTGACTCTGCTAATTGTGAGAGTCTATCCCGCACGGCACGGTATTCGGCTTCTGCATTTAACTTCTCACGGCAAATTTCACATAAACCAGCAAGACGTACTGTAATATATTCTGAACCAAAGGATAAGTTACCGAATTGCATTTTAAGAGCATAAGCTTCTTCTTTAAGTCTTGCGATTTCTAATTCCTGTTCAACCTTTTCTTTAGTCATTTCATCTATTCTCGCTTCTAATTCAGTATTACGTTTAATGAGTGAAGACTGTGTTCCAAATTGACCCATCGTTTCACGTAGTTTACCGACTTCTCCTAATGCCACTAAGTGGGCTTCTTTATGATACCTCGTAGAGGTTCTTTCTTCGGCTAATTTTTCTCGTACCTCTTTTAGTTCATTTTCCAACTGTAGAACATGTTGAACAAACAATGGAGATTCTACCTTACTGAGTGCTTCTCGAAGTCTAATAACCTCTTCAGTAAGTTGTGTAATATGCCCTTCAGCTTTAACAAGTTGTTCATTTGCATTCATTTTTTGCTTATCATGATCTTCGATACGTTTATTTCCTATCACATCTTCCTTCTGTTTGCCCATCTCCGTATCATCTGCCAAGAAAGGACTTGATGGTTGGGTGCTTTGCAACAGAATAGGAGAAACTGGTTCTTGATTGGTTCCATCTCTATTAACTGATAGATTATTTTCGTCATGAAGTTCCTTAAGATTTTCTCTAGTTTTCACATCAAGAATACCAGGCATCCCTCTAGGGGTTTCTACAGAACTTAGTGTGTCATCATATGTTGCAAAATGGAGAGATCTATCTGAAACAGAAGAATGTGGAGATGATGATTGTCCCAGCATAGATGTACGTATTAGTTTTGTTTTGGAAGAGGATGAGGCAGTAGATTGTTCTCCATCCTTCTTTACGGTAGAAGAGACGGTAGAATTAGAAATTGGTACCACATTTACTGGAACCTGTTCTGCTAGACTTTTCTTTCCTTCTGCTTCTTTTTGTTGTGGTGTTGGTGTTGGTGATGGCGGCACTGCTGAAGGTAGTTTAGATGCTGAGATTGGTACTTTAGATGGTACTTTTGAAGTACTTTTCGATGCTGAGATTGGAATCTTTGAGGCTGTCCCTGGCACTTTACTTGAATTTCTCTTCGGTGCTGTATTAACGGACTTTGGTGGTATTTTGGAAGGTAATTTACTCTTCACTAACGCCTTGGATGGAGGTTTTGGAGGAGTATCACCTGCCATTTTCCTCTTTTTCTTTCTTTCTTTCTTTTTTGTTTTGCCTTTATGGGAAACGAAAAAAAAAAAAAGTACCTATGGTGAAAGAAATAAAATAAAAAAAAAAAAGAAAATAATCAGGAGGTTTCCACGATATAAAAAATCTTTCTATAATATAAACTTGTAATGTTTAAGGTTATATATATATATATATATATATATATATTACTTGACACGGTTATTGTATTCCATGAAAAAAATTTTACAAAAAAAAAAAAACTATTGAAATACTTGTACATTCTTGTATTGAAAATAACATTTCTCTTCCTTTCTTTAGCATGGTGGTTTCTTTTTCACAACAGACCCCAACACACGACTACGATAAGTAGCTGTTGGTAACTCAAATGAGACATTACCTTGTACAGGTGTAGGTGTCATGACTGGTGTAGAGTTATTTAACCATGAGTGTTTCAGTGATGCCCCTGTAATACGTGGATATCTTTCCGTTGTATTCGCACTAATAGCATTAGATCGTGCAAGTGCAGAAATAGTTTCTTGTCGTAATGTATTTGGTTTCAATTTCATTGCCTTTTCCGCCTGTCGCATACGTGAGCATTGAAGAATACTAGGTTCAACCTTTGGACGATAATGAATTGCAGATGAATTCCCATCCATCGTTATATCTAACGCCCCAAAGGCATCGTGGCTGAGTGAATCCAGTTCAGCCCCTTGCAGTTTCAACAGCCGCTGGGCCCCACTGCGTAAATCCATTTCTTCAAACTGAACACCATCACCACCTTCTAAGCGGAGTGAAAGCATAGAATAGAATATAGTTCGCACTGCATTCCGCCATTCAGGTGGTGCTTGAACTGCAGGTGAAGGGGATACTGAAGATTCATGTGATTGTTCTTCTTTTTCTTTTTCTTCTTCTTCTTCTTCTCCTTGTGAAGTTGTAGTTGTCTGTTCTTTTTTATCTTCTTCTTCTTCTTCATCTAAATTGGAGGGAAGAAACCGCCGCCATGGAACTGCCAAAGGTCCATAAAGGATTCCAATATCATTATTGGTTTTCACCTTTTCACGCAATGGTGATTCTTTCCGTTTTCGTAGGGATGACATCTCATGTTGTTTTTGTCCTTTACGAAGAGTTGGTAATGGAACAGAACGGGTGGATTGTGAAGAAAAACGGTTGGGATTTTCTTTCAGAGGTGAAAATTGACGTGTGGGTAATTTTATCTTTTGTAATACTCGCACTGTATTACTTTTCGGTGTATAATTACTATTATTATTATTATTATTGTTATTGTTATTCTTATAATAATAATAATAATTATTCCTTCTATCCATTGAGTGATTATAATAACCATCACAAAGGGTACTATGATTACTGTTACTACTAGTAAGTCCCTGTCGAAGTGGTGAAAGCGGTGAAGGACTTCTTTTCTGTTCCTTCTCTTGATAAAGTCTATCCAATCGTGCGAGAGCCCGTTCCATGAGAAGAGCGGTTTCTTCTTCTGAGAGTTCACTGGTAATGTCCTGTTGGAAAAGTTCTTCCACGACTTCATTCACCGCCTGCTGCAGTCGTGGATCGCGGAGTTGTTCTTCAATCTGCTGCTGCACATATGCCTCTTCCCGCAGTCTGGTGCGTAGTAACGGGTGGGAGTAGAGTGGGAATATGTGTTTCCCAATCTTTACATGCTCAACGCCATTCATTAGTTTTCGTGTATGCAGTGATGCTAACTATTTTTTTTTTTTTTTTTTAATGATCTTTTTTTGCTAGTGCGTAGAAATAATGAGGTTTTTTCTTTTTCCCTTTTTTTTCCTTTGTTTCTTTCTTTTTCCTGGTGCGCTAGCAAACCACACCTATTATCAATAAGAAAAAAAAAAATAAAAAATAGAGATTATTGATTCATCAAATTAAAGGAGTTATACACACCCTCATCGAAAATAAAAATAAAAAAAACACGCATATCATTTAGTTATTACTATTACACTCATACCCTGCATATGTTTTCTCTTTTTTTTTTCTTCTTACTAACGTTATGTGATAAGGTATCCAAAGACGTCAGATTTCGTTTTAACAAACACACTTTGATGTCGTTACAGCAGAAAACATGTATATATATATATATATGTATCTATCTATGTATACGTATAGGTATTTGTATACACATGATGTAAAAAAAGAAATAGATAAATAAACAGATAGATAGATAGAGTGAGAGAAACGGTAGTCTATCATTTTCACAGAATTTCTCTACGCACGACAAGAAGAAGAAGGAGAGATGAAATTGCGCGATTGTTGTTAACTGTCATCAGAGCTACTCGCAATAAACTCATCTTCAGAATCAGAAGATGCTCCTCGCTTACGTTTTCGTGTACCTGTAGTCTTTGTTGCTTTTGTAGTTTGCCGCTTTGCCTTTGGTTTTGGTTTCTCTGCTGTTTCCTTCTTTGTCGTTTTCTTCGCTGCTGGTTTCTTACTCGTCGCTGCTGCTGCTGCTTTCTTTTTCACAAGATTCGTATTCTTCTCCTCATCACTACCACCGCCCTCTTCATCCTCTTCACTAGCGATATCTACACCGAGATGTTGTAGTGTTCCCTTTGCAAAACTCTCTGTTCGATGTGTTTTATTAAATTCCCGTGTAAATGCAGATTTCACTGCTGTTGGTATTTCTCCAGCGATGGAATTTTTTGTTTTTGTTTGCATCTTTTTAAAATGTGAGACGATTTGAATAAACTCCCAATCATCTCGCATAATATGATATTGATCCATAAATTGAATAACATCTGGTATAGCTTCTTTCCCTCTTTCCGCTAATGGTCGTGTTAAATTCGCCTCCCAACCTAATGGAATGTAATCTAATAATACATCTTCCTGATTTCCACTAATCCCTTTAAAAGGATGTGTAGCCTGAAGTGTTAAACAACGTAAAAGACGTTTATTCTTATTTGCAGAGGAATTTTGTCCAAGCCATGTGGGAAACTTCACTGGACGTTGTCGATCAAAAAATACCTGTTGACCAGAGAGAAAAGATTCATAATGTCCACGTGTAATCGCACAAGGGGCAATACTGGAGAATTGCACATACGCACGAGAAACCGACCAATTCTGTTCAAAGTACATTATACGTTGTAATCCATCTGCTAATGATATATAGTTTGCAGCTTCTGCTACTGCCTCCATGTAATCTTTATTTTCTGGATTAAAATGAATGTAATTTTCCTGAACAAATAAATCCACAAGATCTGAATTATAAAAAGCGGATTGAAGTTCTTCTATGGTGTGTGGTTTTCCACGAGAAGTGCCTTGTAAGAGAAACATCTCCGCCGCATCAAATAAACCAACATCATTATCTTTAGAAGATTGAATAGCACATTCCGCAAGTGTTTTTTGTTCTAATGTTTTTCGGTTAATACACCACATTTGTAAATTATTTAACATACTACGAATATCACTTCCGGAACGTTGAATAATATCTTGTAAAAGTTGTTTAGAAAGTGAAATACCTTCACGAGCCAATACTTTATCACAAATGTAATTCGCTACAATATTACACGGAGGTCTACTCACACGAATATCTTCTACATAATTAAGAAGTGAACGAAGTTTCTGATGCCATCGATCATTACATGTACATACAATAGGTATAGTGGTAGATTTAATCATTTGAATAACTTCTCCCACACCTCCAATATCACAACCATCTACTTCATCCATTAAAAGAATAATCTTTGTATAGGAAGAGGCAGTTCCATTAAAGGTGCGATTATTAATCACATCCGTGACATGTTCACGAAGAGATTTTCTACTTCGAAAGTCACTCGCATTATATTCCACTACACTTCTCCCAAGTTCTTTAGCGACAACATAAACAGATGTGGTTTTTCCCACACCGGGTGGACCAGAGAGAAGTGCACCTCGTGTTTTTACAGTTCCCGCCTCAAATCCCTCCACCCACAATTTTAATTTGTTTGCAGAAACGGGATAACACATCTGCGCAATACACTGCGGTTTATACTTGTCAGCCCATTGCTGTCTACTCTTCACATCTGCTGCTGTTGCCGCTGTTGCTGCTGCTGCTGCCATTGTTGTTGTTGCCACTTGAAATTATGTATACACACAGAGACCTCTCGACGGTATACTCTTATAAAGAGAATAGAAGAGAAGAGAAGAAAAAAGAAGGAAATGAAAATCACAAATAGGCTCTAAACCCAGAAAATATGAACAGTTATTATTTTCTTTTTCTTTATATATATATATATATATATATATATATATTCATGGTAATGATGATTATTATAATCATCAGGGTAGTAAGGGAAGATTCATTATTGTTTACATCATCGTTTGTACATTTTTGGAAAGAAAAAAAAAATGAATCACTAAAAACGATGAATTCAAACAACAATAACACGTACACGCACATAGAGAAAAAAAAAACAGAGAAAAACAATAAAAAAAAACAATGCCAAAGAAACAATAATAACAATAATAAAACACAAAGAAAAAGAAGAAGAAAAGAACGCTATTGAAATAAAATGAAGAAGCACAGGAAGTGGGTTTCAACGCCTGAGGAACACACTGCAGAAATAAGAATGAACAACAATAAGAACAATAAGGAGAAAAAAGGAATCCATAAATTGCTTCTTCTCATCTACTATACAAATAGAAGAAGAAAAAAAATCTCAACTTCTACTCAATAGAATGATATATCTATCCCAAATCAAAGAAACGACCTCACATCTACAAAATGAAAGATTCAAACTCATAACAGCACAAGAGGTAAGAAAAGAAAAGAAAAAAAAAATGAAAACAAAGAGAGCGAAGAAAGATATACAAATACAAATATTAAGAAGAAAAACAAAGAAAATAAATAAGAGATGCAAACCTACACGGTTCCTTTAATAACAAAAGCCAGAGTAGATACAATGAACGCTGTTTTCTTTTTCTTTTTTTTTGTTCTCATCCTCTTATGTTTAACCCAACATTGTGACTCCTTGGTACTCAAACAGTTCTCTCTTCAAAATAATAAAACCCTTTCACTTTCACTTTCACTCCCATTCCCACTTCTTCTTCTCCTATTTCTTCTTCCCTCTTTCCATCTATTTAGCTTTTCCCAACAACTGGACTCTGCCCTACAGCAGTAACAAATGGTATATTCGTCTTCGCCGGTTTCACATTCGTAGGAAGTTGTATTACAAATGTTGGTGGAGGTTGTTGTTGTTGTTGTTGTTGTTGTTGTTGTTGTGATGGTGATGATCCCATTTGTAGTTTTCTGGTCGGCGTTCCCTGCAACTTTTGTCGATTGGGTGAGTTCTCTTTTACTTTAGGAACCGCATCCGTAGGTCGTTGTGTTAAAGAAAGATTTTGTTTTCCATTTGCACGTTGAAGCGGTACTTCCACAGTACCACTGGCACTTAAACTTCGTGTATGACTCATAGACCGCCGAACACGTAAAGGAAGATTTTTTGGTGGTGGAGGATTTCCACCAGCGGATGCACTTCGTTGTGGAATAGGAATACGTTTAGCTTCTGGTTCTCTCTTAGCTGGAGAGGGAACTTTGTGATTTTTACCTTCTACACATCCACTACCACTTGTACGCCAAACAAGTTCTTGCACTTCACTTTCTTTAGATGGAGAAATAGGTACAGATGTACTAGCACGAGATCTACTTTGAGTAGATTGCCATGGAGTTGGGGCAAACATAGAATTTGGCATATAAGACACATAAGGTTTAAAAATAGATGAGGTGGCTCCGGATTTAGGTACACTAAGTAAACTTTCATTTGCAGGCATTGAACGTGCTGAACGTGCATGTAAAGGTTTTGGTAAAGAATGCTGTAAACTTTGTCCAGGTGTAATAACATGTGAATGATTACTACGCATTCCATCATCTAAAGGAGACCTTATTTCAGGCATTGGAAATGAAGAATAATTTAACGATGGACCTGGATTTCTTATTGATCCAGGTGGTGGAGGTCCTTGTCGTCGTTTTCTCTGTAGAGAATGATATTGTTGTTGTTGCTGTTGTTGTTGTTGTTGTTGTTGAATAGATGGTCCTACAGGTTGTTGTTTCATCCTTATACTCACATTACTTGTATTGGGTGCTGCACGTACACTTTGCCCAAGCGGTGGAACAATTTTAGCTCCTATAAATGGTCTTACAGAAGTATTTCTTTTTGGTTCTATCATGGTTGTATTTTTCGTTGGTGTTCTTCTAATGGCCTCTCTTGAATTTCGCCGTGGGGAGGAAGCACTAATTGAGACATCTGAAGAATCTGTATAAGAATAAGAATACGAATAGGAAGATGATGAATCTTCCTGCATGGAAGGATGAACTACGGTACCTCTATTTTTTTTCAGATTATGATTTGATTGTACCCTTCGTTCATTTTTTTTACCATATGCATCCAATCTACTAACTTTACCAGTATTTCTTTTATTATTATTATAATCTGTTTGTTTATCATATCTCCTTTCACCTCTATTTTGTAATTTACTAGGCGGTGTAGAAGCCCGTGTACGTTTTGGTGATAAAGCTGGACTTATTCGTTGACCACTTAACCTTCCTGTAATTGTCTCTGGTCGTGATGTGGTGTCATCCTTTACGGAATAAACCGTAGAGGGTCTTCTCTCACTCACTCCTGGTGAGCGAGCCTGTGATTGTGAATGAGATCTAGATTCATTATCCAATTCTTTTCTCTCTGGAAGTGCATGATCCTGTGGAGTTGGGGCTAACGAGGATAAAGAGACTGTAGCACGTGGAAACTCCGTTTCAGAGTTATTATGCATATTATTATTATTATTATTATTATTATTAATATTAATACTGTTTCTTCCACCTTTGCTGGTGTTACGCAGTGAGGCTCGTGGATGAATAGTGTGTGTGTGATAGGATGGATCACACGATGTATCTTCATCTGATCCCCCAGGACTACGGTCATAATTATTATTATTATTTTTATTACTATTATTTTTATTTTTATTATTATTACTAGAGACTGCTGCTGCTGCTGGTGGTGAAGATTTACCTTCTCCTTCTTGCTCTCTTCTACTAGCAGATTTCCCTGTTTTACGTGATTCTTCATTTGTATCTGAGGAAGTTGGAAGCGGTTCTACCACGCGTTGACGTCGGTGTTGTTCACGCTCTATAATACGAGGAGGAACAGCATTGTAAGCTCCAACTACCCCGACATCTTCTTCTTCTTCTTCCAATTCAGACTCACTGTCATCAGATGTGTGTGCTTCTTCCGTCGTGGCTGTTAAGGTAGATTCATAACCGGCATCCATTCGACCCCAGTAATTACCCTGATTATAATTATTTCCTTCTCTAGTACGTTGTATAAAGTCACCATCATAATATTCTTTCACATTATCATATTGATGTTGCAACGGTTGATGAAAAAACTGATGATGATTATTATTTTGTTGTTGTTGTTGTGGTGGTGGTGGTGGTTGATATTGAAATTGTGCTGGAAATGATAATGGTGGTGGTACTGGAGGAGAATAAGAACGACGCCGACGAGTCGCAGGTTCCGGTAGAGGTGGTGTAAGTGTTCGCCAATATGCATTAGCCACATTGGAATTATTACTATAGTGATTACTGCGCTGATACAAGTCACGATCTGCACTTTGACTACGGCGTAAACGTACATCAGTAGATGGTGCACGAATACTTGAAAGTTCACGATATGAACGACTAAGCTCTAATTGTCGATCCACATATATATAAGGAGGATATTGTTGTTGTTGTTGTTGTTGTTGTTGTTGCCGCTGCTGCTTTGGTGATAACTGTTCCCCAAATGAAGGTGCTCGTCGTCTATCTTGGTAACGTTTACGTTGTTGTCCGGTATTATAATCTCGCCTATTCATTGATAATGAGCTCATCAGTTTAGGAGAATCTATAGGAGGTTGTAGTTTACTTGTTTTACCCAGTCGTGATCGACGTTGTCGGGTAATTGAAGGTTTCTCCGTGTGATCATTTTCATACGGTGCAGAGGATGTTTCCATATCGGATGCCCTAGGTGATGTTAATGGTGGTGAGACCACTCCTGCATCTAAATATCCGCCCATCTTCTCTTGTGGATATGATCTTATCTCTTCTAATGGAGGAGGAGGCGGTGGTGGAGGAGGAGACCAGGCTTTTCGTATACGTTCTTGTCTACCATAACGATCCTCTCCTATGGTCTCAGCTGGTGATCGCAGGATTCCATTATATCGTCCATCCTTCTCTTTGAACTTTTGTTCTTTTTCTTTTCCTTGTTGTTGTTGTTGTTGTAATCGTCGACGCTGTGTCTGTGGACTCGTGATAGTATTGGAATTATTATTATTATTATTATTATTATTATTATTATTATTATTATTATTATTATTTCCACTCACTCTATTAGTTCCCATTCCCATTCCACTATTCGTATATATAGTCTTGTTCGTGTTCGTGTTGGTAGTGGAGGAGTGCGGGCGGTCAAACTGTGCCATGCTGTGGAGAATTGGGGCGAGATGACTGTAGTGATCCCACTCCATCCGCTCAATCACCGCATCCACGTCTGTGGCCTCCACCAACTGCCGGACGAGGGCCTCATCTTCTTCATCTTCCTCTTCTACTATAGGCGGCGGGGGGAGTATTCCACGGGACATCAATGGACTAAGTCAATCAATCAATTAATCTATTAATTCTATTTCTCTTTCTCTTGTTGTGTTGTTGTTGTTGTCGTTTATTCGTTCGTTCTCTCGTTATTTTATTTTTCTTTTTTTTTGTGCGTGTGTGTGTTTTCTTATTCCTTTGTTTTTTCCTTCTTCTTCTTTCTTTCTCTCTCTAATCTGTTCCCTATCCCTTTCGAAGAATAACAATATATATATACACACACACACACTTCTGTGTATTGTTTCTGTGTGTTTGTTACGATAGGTGTACAGCAGCAAGCACTGCAATGCAAAGAAAGAAGCAATAAGCCGTAGAGAAAAGAGGAAGAAGATGAAAATGATATTTTTTTTTTTTTTTGGAAATAAAGCAAGTGCTAATGAGAGAAAAAAATAAATAATGTTGAACAAGTACAGACTTGAGTTTAACAAAGGAAACAAATGAAAAAAAGAAATTAAAAAAAAAGAAACAGTAGTAGCAAAAAGCAATCAGAAGGAATACTTGTGAAATCAATCTATGTTGTGCTAACCCTTATTATATGAAGAACGTTTTTTTTTTTTCCCCCTCTTGTTATCAGAGGAATCCCCATTTGTAAAACCAAGGATTCACCAGAAGAAAAAAAAAAAAAAAACATTTATTTGAGAGTCACCCATACTCTTTAAGTCTATGAAATAAGAATAATGTATTCTTTTCTTTTCTTTTTCTGTTCTCTCAGTCTATACAACCTTCGATAATATCCATGCTGCAAAAGCACGAAGTTCTGTCGCTGCAGGGGCACCCGACTGGTCTATCTCTGCTAAAAAATATAAAATCTTAGGAACTGTACCGTACACAGGAACCGCTAAAAGTACACCAACTACACCTTGACCACGTAGTAACGAAAAAGGTGAGGAACTATGAATACCACTTTGACCAATAGAAGATTTATATCGAAAGCCTAAAGTAATCATTTCCAAGAGAGTTACCACCGCATTATGCATATTCACTGGCCATGATCCTCGTTTTGAGAGATGATTTGTATCTTTTGTATTCCGTTCATAACGATAGAGACAAACATCTCGTGGTCCTCTTGATATACAGTTAGAAGTAGTAAAATAACGTGAAAATATACCAAAATGTCGAACTACTTGCATAAAGGAAATTGTAGGTTGTGTAAGTGTAGCTTTAGAATAAAGAGAAAACATATTTCCTGATATTATCTGTTGAACTAATGTAGTAAATTTTGGAGTTTCAAGTGTCATGGAAATCATATTTCTTACACCAGATATAATTTTCGGCATTGAGGCACCTGTAAATACATTTAATGCTGTTTCTAAACGCAATACAATAGCCCATCCACCTGAAGAAAGAAAAGTCACACAAACAGCAGATGAGTTTTCATTTTGTTGTTGTTTTTGTTGTTGTTTTTCTTCTTGCTTGAAGTAACCTGCTGTACAAGCACTACCTCTTTTCGTTTCTGAGTACATGGCTAAACATTTAATCATTATGGAATCTTCCATTATATTACTATGATGACGCCTTGTTAAACATTTCTCTCCATAGGTGGAAATAACAGCTGGTAAAAGATTAGATTCATAAACTTCTATAGAGGCATTCGAATAAAGTGGTTCACCCTGATACCACACCGCTGCGGCTGTGACTACAAGACGTTTAAAACCTTCACACATACCACCTGTTGGGAAAGCCCCATTTAAAGAAATATAATCTGAATAACTTGTAGCGGACCATAAGAGTTGTTCTAATGTACTTGATAGACGACTATGAACTCGAAGAGAGGATGGACGTTCACTACACATTCTTTGTAAAGTAAGAACAGTTTCTTGTCCTTCCTTCAGTAATGTCTCTGATGAGGCATTTTCAGAATGTCCACATTGATCTAGAAATGAAACAAATTCTATTAATTGTTTCATTCTTTCTCGTACAGCCATTTCTACAGCTTTTGCATTTTCTGAAATACGATCATGAAGTGAATAATATGTAGGAACAGAGATAACAGCTGCAACATTACAATCAATCTCGTAACCACGAATTGCTGTTGCTAATAGAATCTGTAAACTAACTTCACCCATCCATCGCCAAAGCGATTGTGGAATCGTAACAGCGAGAAGATACTCCCCATTCTCAACAGGATGAAGAAGGAAAAGACGACCACCTCCTTCTAAATAAAGATGAGAAGGAGTACCGTAATAAAAATAGTTTTGTTTTACTTTTTCTATTGAATATACTTGTTTCTTTTTATCCCATATCATTATAGTCCTATCATTACCATCTGAAAGGATACATCCCTTCTCCATCTCATTTACTACACTAGCAGTTCCATAATACAGTTTAGATAATAATTCTGTAGATAAAGCCATACGCTCCTCATGTCTATCGGTTTCGTAATATACATCCCCTCTCTCACGCATCTCTAATTCTGCGAACAGCAGCGGTGCGGTACCATCTTCTCTCATGTTGTTAACATCAAGAGAGCCAAGATGCACGCGGAAGACTCCAGCCATATCTAAATTGATTCTCTCTCCCACACTAAAAAAAAAACCTCACCTCAACTGACCCCAAACTCTCTTTTTCCCTTTTCTTTTTCTTTTATAATTAGAGGAAAATAGGAAAAAGAAAAATAATAATAATAATCCATAAATAAATAAATACATACATAACAAGAAAAAAGGAAAAAATGAAGGTACTCCTTGTAATTATGAAGAATTATAAATATAAATGATGCGGATACATTTTATACCCTACAACGATTGTCATCACATATTTTACTGTCTAATATGATTTCTTTCCAGAATATACAATGAAAAGGGAAAAAAAAAAGAAAACGCACTCACTCTCACACTCACTCACCTACAAGCAGAAGCACAAACACAATGTGCACTAGAGAGGTAGATAAAATAAAGTAAAAAACAAGAAAAAAAATGGAGGAATACAAAAACAAAAAAAGAAAGAAATCCTTCTTCTCCTTTCTAGTCATCTGAAAGGTCAGAAACATCAGCGGAAAGAGGTGAATGTGTCATATTGTGATTCCCAAATCGTTGAAAATCAATCTTATTTCCGGGTATACTTGCCAAGACACGTTCCACCTCTCGTACCTTACGTTCACTTTGTTCGATATACTCCTGTAAATGAGGACTTGGATAAAGAGATGGATTTTGAACGGATAATAGAGAAGCTAAAGGAAGAGTAGAAGTAACATTTTGTGTATCTATCCATGTTGTTGACGTTTCATCCTTTTTAGCAGAATGAATGCCATGATCTAATATTTCTGATTCGGTACCCACACGTTGTGGGGACGATAATGGATGCATTAATCCAGTAGAAACATCTCTAGATGGTGATGTACTCTTCTGCTGGTGCATACGCAGTGGTGGCCGTTGATCTTGTTGTTGTTGTTGTTGTTGTTGTTGAATTTTCTTTTCTTGTGGATGATGGTATTGAGAAGTCTCTCTAAGATGGGAACTGTTACTACGATAGTTTAATGGTAAAGGTGCATCATCCTCATCCTCATCCGACCAAGTTGAACTTCCAGTAAAACTAATTCCCGTTCCATCTAAAAGACGTTGACGACCTCGCCATGCTGCATCTGCTGTTTTTTCTGCTCGTGTTTTTGTTGTTGTTATTCCTGTTCTTCTTATTGTTGTTGTTGCTGTTGGTGCTATTGTTGTTTTCTTAATAGTTTGACTTGGACGTGAAAGCCGCCGTGAGGAGGAGGCATCACTGTAGACAGATCCTTCTTGTGATCGTGTTTTCCATTGCGGCTCTGAAGAAACAGGTGTATATTTTCGTCTTTCTTTTCTATTACTGGCATCTGTGGGACACATAAAGTGTTGAAATGTTGTTCGTGTAATTCCTCGAGAAGATCGTGAGGAAACTTCCTTTTCACTCTCTTCATGTGGGGTTTGTGTAAAAGCTACTCGAACACTTCGACCGCTATTCGTATGCAAAGAAGATTGACCAACAGGTCTTCTTCTTATTCCATGCGGTTCAACACTTGTCATTAAAGCAGTAGCGGAGGAAGAACCAGAGAGACCGGCATGTATTTTATTTCTCTGCGAAGGAATATCACCAAGGAGAGTTTCTCTATCCTCTAATGTGTGAGTGAATAAAGGTGTTTGATTTCTACGTATTCCTTCTTTCATCATTTCTCTTTCAATATCACGTGTATGCAGAGTCTCTTGTTCTTGCTGTTTTTGATCATAATATACTTGTTGACGCTCAATCATATTCGTTAGTTCTGACAATTCATATTCTCGTAAACGATCGTATTGAAATCGAGCATGCATTGCCTCTGTCATACTAATCTGTTCCTGCATAGCATCAATCATAAAGAGAACATGTTCCACTATAAGAGACTCAGGAACATTATTAGCTACACACTCATCAATAAAGTTTATTATTAAAGAACGGGAGTTGCTATTCATTAATCCATTTTCCTCTCTATTGCTTCCTGTCATTCTTTTTATTCTTTTTGTTTCTGTTGTATTCGTACTTCGTGATGCATCTATATCTACAGGATCAAAGAATCTTCCGAGAAGGCTACTATTTTCAATAACAACATTTTCACCTTTTCGTCCTTTTCTCTGAGTTCCTTCTTCTTTTTCTTTTTCTTGTTGTTGTTGTGGGGAATGCCGTGGAGGTGTTTTTAGAATACCGGAGTTCTCAAACCTCTCTAACAGTGAAGCTCTGAAACTCCGAGGACTAACGGTCAGATTCATCTCTACTTTTTAAACGGTATATAGGAAACACATAAAGAGAGAAAGAAATATAAACAATATCAAAAAAAAAAAAAGAAAAAAATTAAAAGAAAAAAAATTGGGGAAAAAAAAGAATAATCATCGCACCTCTCATACCATGAATTCCAAGGTAATAGAAAGAGGAAACAAAAAAAAAAACATTAAAATAATAAATAAAATGTAATACACACACTATAGAAAAACGACATAGCAATCAGAAAAGAAGATCAAACAAAAGATTTGCGCTTCAATTCCCTCCACAGAAATACAAAGAAAAAAGAAGGATATTTCTTTCTTTCTTTCTGGAATGATTTTACACGTATAAAGAAAGCGTGAGAAATATATATATATATATATATATATATATAGAAAAAGAGAGTATGTCTTCTCCTTACAGGAGTCCTTTAGAGAAGACAGATTCTCTTAGTGAGATAGCCTTCTGAATAATACTACCTGCTTTAATACGTGGAAGTCGCCGAAGTCGTTCAACAATACCAGACTTCTCACACTCAAGTAATACTTCTGTCATATCTGCTAGAATTGCCAGACAAACATAAGGATGTAATGGAATACAAAGTTGCTCGAGTGCATCTGCCAAATAGGCATCCCATAGTCGTAAGACATCATCATCATGAAGACGACCTGCAAGTAATGTAGAGAGCATATCTGGGAGCCATTCCACCACTGTTACTCCTTCACTCATAAAATGACGATAGAGTTCAAAGTTTGTTGCACGAAAAAGCATAAGAAAAGTACCACACTCCCGCTGTAAACATACTGGACTTTGTAGTACATTTCCATGATGTGTAAGGAGATGATAGAGTGTTTGAGTTGAAAAATAAATATCCCTTGCAGTTTTGTGTACAGTTTCAAAGACACGTGCGAGGGCAAATATATGTTCTACTGCGTCTGGAGTGGCATCTGAGTTCGCCACCTGCAATGCGTGTACGGCCGCACGAAATCGATTTCTCCGTTCTTGATCAGTGGCGAGTGTTGGTAATATCTTCATACGAGCATAAGCCGCAGCCCAGGCGTCGTTGCCGGTGACGGCGTGTTTATCTGTACATCGACCGCCACTCGCGAAGGGACTTTCATGCCGGCCGAGCAGCGGAACGGCGGTGTCGGTGAGTGGCGCGAGTCCGCCGCCTTCGCCCCCAGCGGCTATCCGCCCAAATGTCGCCTCCATCCGCTCAAAGTCCTTTTCCTGCATGCGCTCTAACGTCATCTCCCGTGATTTGTCGACAAAGGCCACACCGAGGAGATAGCGGTAAACAGTACTGCGGTAACGGACAGGGATGCCGGCGCGGGAGGCCTCTCGCAATTTGGCGGGGTTTAACAACACCTCCGCATCCAGCAACTCCTCAAACACACGCACACTGTGACTAATGTCATCTTTTTCCTCCGCTAAACTAGAATTGGGAACATGATTGGAATTCATATTCATATAAAGAGGGCCAATGGTTCCAACCGTAGTGAGAACTCCTCCTCCTCCTCCTCCTCCTCCTCCTCCTGCTGCTGTTGCTATTGGAGGGGCAAGTGGGGGTATAGTTCCCACTACTGTGGTTGGAGCCCCTGTCTCTTCTCGCAGAGGCGTGGGGTCTGTCGATATCGTCGTCTCCTGAGTGGTATCATCCGCCATTACAATACGAGTAATAATAGTAATAATAGAAATAAAAACTAAAAACTAAAAAATTAATAAACACACAAACACACAAGCCAGAGAAACAAAAAGAGGAAACTGGCTATGTGCAAGGACAGGTACAAACTACCTTAATCCCAGATACAAGGAAATAATTTTATCTTGTGTGCTACGAATCACCTTTTTTCCCCCTCTATGAAAAAGAAAAAAGAAAAAGAAAAGAATATTACATTTGAATGATTATAATGCATCTCTCCATCTTAAAATATCTGTCACCAAAAATATACATGTAAAAATATAGAAAAAAGTATATATGTATATTGTATCTCTCATTGTGTGTCTGTAACTTGCTTATTTCCATTGCTTTCCTTTTCATTCTCTGTGAAGTTTTCACACATAGATGAAGGGAGACCAAAAAAAGCTAAAGTTAACAAAAAAACAGATAAAGTGTGATAGCGCACTTCTCGCGCGATTTAATTAATACCATTTTTTTTCTTCTTCTCCTCTTTACTTACTCTCCTTTACTTCTCGGTGTAAAAGTGACAGTCTGTGCGATACGTAAAGTCGGTGAAACAGAGATAACCACCATAACGATGCCTCACATCTTTTGACATTTCCACAGCTCCTATGAAGAGTTTCTTATTCCTGCACTCCAAATTGTATTCTATTTTTTATTTTATTTTGTACGTATATTTTATGTTTAACTAAAACATTATATACATACATAGATAGAACTTACGCAGAGTCAGTCTTCTTCTTCTTATCATCCCATTGGTGTTTTTCTCCTACAGTAAAGCTGTCACTTTTCTATCATCCTTTGTTAGTTTTCTTTTTTTTTTTTTTGTTTTTTACTTTCCTTCAGAGTTTCTCTCTTTACACCTCAACTTCCACATAACCATCACGATCATAATCATCATCATCACTTCTTTCATTTATTCTTTTTTTTTTGATTTTTTTTTTAAACTTTTTTCTTTTTCTTTCGTCTTTCCGTTCTGCTACCTTTTTTCTTTTCTTTTTTCCTCCATTTTCCTTTTTCTTTTCCTCTCTCTCTCTCTCACTTTACGCTCTGCCGTGTCGTTCCTCATACTCGCGCCTAAACTCATCCCGTGGGAGCATCCACACGACCTGTTTCACTCCCTGCGAGGACTCCTCGTGGAAGAGTTTGCGGGCCTCCTCCACCGCCTGCGCGGCCGCCTCCTTCTCCTTCGGCTCCTGCTGCTGTTGGAATCTCGCATCGCAGCCGTAGAGGTGGTCGGCGAGGATTTGTTTCTCCTGCGCGGAGGCCAGCATGCAGAGAACGGAGAGAATCACACCAGTGGAGTAAATGGGCCACGTCCGCTCACTCACCCATCCCCACGCCGTCATCACAGCCGTGAGAGAGCTGCGGTATACAGGCAGAATGTGGTACTTCTCCACAAACTCACTAAATTTTCCCGACATTTCACAAAATATTAATGTTTAGATATATATATATATATGTGTGTGTGTGTGTGTGTGTATACACGTGAGTAAAGAAGGAATTTTACGTGCGTATGTGTATGTGCCTTTGGTAGCCCTGTTATAACTCAGTGTATATACGAATAGAAACAGGAATAAATAAAAGGCAAATAAAAAGAAAAAGAAACGAGGAGAAAAAAAAAAGAATATGTATTATTATATAAACACACAAAAGAATATGCAGAGGAAGAGAAAAAAGGTATAATCACACTGATCAAAAAAAAAAAAAAATAATTATAGTCAAAAAAAAGAAAAAAAAATTCATTCTGTGTATCTATAAGAAGAAGAAAAGAGAAAAAGAAAAGGCAAAGAAAAAAAAAAAAAAAAATACATTGATAAATCTCTCTGTTGTAACAGTATGCAAGAATACGCAATTATACAGAATCATATGTATTTTATTTTCTTTTCTCTTTTCTCTTTTTTTTCCCTCTTTTCGTTTATCTTCTAACCAACGTAGAAGTCAAGAACCACAAATCGTTCCTTTGCATAAAACACACCAAACCCACGTGCACGACTGACAGAAGCTCGTAGATAACGTGTAGAAATACCTTTAATTTCAAGTACAGCATACTTGTTCTGTTCAATCCCATCATCACCTCCTCCCACAGCCGCTGCTGATCCTTCAACTCTAATGTTATTATTATTATTATTATTATTATTATTATTATTATCTTCCTTTTCTTTCTCTTCTTCTTCCTCATCCTCATCCAAGGTCTGCAGTTCAATAGCACCACTTTCATCCACTAATACTACCACTAATGCATGTTCTGATCCACCACCTGTAAGAGAAGCCGTTGATCGCTCCCACAAAAGTACAGAATGACCTCCCTCATCTACTACACCACACCAAAGAAATCTATTTTCTTCTCCTGTTCCTGTTGCTGACAGTTGTAAAGGTGAGATATCGACAATATTAAATTCCTTTTGGGCTACAAGACATATACCTTTATTATTATTATTATTATTATTATTATTATTATTATTATTATTATCGAGTACTGGTGAATAGAGACTCATGAGGGGAACAATAGGTTGTGATTGTGTAAGGGTAACAGCCTGTACCTGAATATTATCTCTTATGGAGACTATTGCTGATGATGTTTCCTCTTCTTCTTCTTCTTCTTCTGTGGGAAGTACTTCACAATATCGTTTGAAAATAGGTCCAATGTTTTCTACATCCAATAAAGGTACCACAATTCCAAAAGTTTCACTTTTACCTAAAAGATATTCTTGTACTATTTGTTGTAATTGATCATCATTATCATCTCTTTCTTCATTTTCTTCTCCTCTTTCTCTTCCATATGGACTTATTTCATCTAATAATGGAAGTGTTGTGGATTTACCACGTTCAATACGATGTAGTGATCGAAGTAGTGAAGGATGCCGTACAGCTCGTAATGGTGGGTGAGAAATAAATCCGGTTTCTGTAGATTGTGGAGTTTTACTCGTTAAAAGTGAGGCTCGTTGTATTACCCACTGTAAAAGTTCCTTCTCATGATCGGCTTCTAATCGCATTTGCCGCATAAAATGACTACAACGTTCTCGCATAGATCCAATAACATCCATTAAAAGATATTGACGTCTTCTATCACTAGAATGCATTTGGGACATGTGAAGAGCAATATCATAACAACGATAAGCCACATTAGAGATTTGAAGAATAAGTTCAGCAAATTGACGTGATATTTCTTCCATATCATTTGTAAGTGTAGTAAGATTTAATTTATTAAAGTATGCTGACATATCTCCTCTAGAAGGATGAGTAATATCCTCTACAAGGGCATCACGTAATAACATGGCATGTTGAGGTAAAAATAAATCATTTCGAACTGTTTGAAGAAGTTTTAACCAACGTCTTTGGGCATTTTGATAGGAAACTTTACCCATACGATAATACTCCACAATACAGCAAAATGCAACTGTTTCACTACTTGTTACACTTGCAATTACATCCGCCAGAGGAATTCGTATTAATTGTGATGAAGTATTGGATACAGTTCCGGCTACTCCAATTTCTTGTAAAACCATATATCCTGCATGTGTGATTGCAGTATTACCACAATCACTAAGAAAATAATTAATACCATTATTATTATTATTATTACTATTACTATTAATACTAATACCACTACTATTATTATTATTATTATTATTATTCGTATTATTATTATTACTATTACTACCACAAAGGTCATTTTTTTCTAATGTAGATGTCATTGTTACAAGGAATGATTCTACTCGCATTCGCATAGGATCTAATAAAAATGGTAGAGAAACCTTCATTACAGTTGCCTCCTGTATACCACCAGGAAGTAAACATAAAGATCCTTTTTGATCCAGTAATAATAACACAGTAGACTCATTTTCACGTTCCATTTCCTCAAGAATAGGAGAAGAGACAGTAACTCGAAGAGGTAAACATAATTCTTTATGACTATTCATTGCGGATAAACGTGAAGGAACGGAGGTCCATGTACATGCGATAATAGCTTCATTTACTGAAATAGGTAAAATAGGAGGTTTTTTAAGTGGATCTACTTCTTTATCATACTCACTATCCCCATCATCATCTCCATCCTCATTTTCATTTTCATAACTTTTCTTTCTATTCTTACTAGGACTAGTAACAGTAGGAGCAGTTTCACCTAATGGAATGGGTGGACGAGACACTTTCTCTGTGAATGCCAAACTTCTACGAGGAACAAATCGCCGCACGAGATCTCCACTCTCCACATCTAAAATATACACATCCCCGCACTGCAGTCCAATTGCGAGTAATCGACCAGATGGTGACCAACAGGCGGATACCGTTATCTCATCTTCTCGCTGTGTGAGAGGAAGTGTAGTTACTACAGTGAGAGTAGTTGATCGATACACCACAACGAGGGATCGTGTGATGATGGCAAATAAATTCATATTGTGACATGTGGTAGCGAGAAGAATAGGCTCCGTGGCCGCTTTTGTGTGGAGAACCTTCATAATAATTTATATCTATATATACACAGACAGAGACAGACAAACCCTAAAAGATTTCCTGCCTACTTACACCCATCAAAAGGAGGAGAAAGAAGAAGAAGGTGTAATAGAAAAGAAGAAAAGAAAAAAAAAACAGGAGATTATATAGGGTACAAAAAAAAAAAGAAGTAATTTGTATTCATTAGTAAAATAAAGTATTAGTAGTAGAGAAGAATATGAAAAAAAAAAAACCAAAGTAACAATAACAATAACAATAAGAATAATAACAAACATTAGGAAAAAAAAGGCATCTATATATATATATATATATATATATAATGTTTCTCATTTCCCCCACTGAGTCCATATACCAGTACACTCCGGCAATGTAGTCCGCTGCTCCGTCTCAATGCGACGTGCAATCGCATCTCCAAAGAAAAACCGTGTGAGTTGCACAGCCTCTATTGTGTTACTAAAGTTGTAATCACACCGTACCCAACGTCTCTCAAATGCGTGTTGAATCTCCAGACGATCCGCAAGTGTGTTGTGGCGTGTGGGGACTTCCGCATCCGTGCCGAGGGTTTCTACAACTACCACCGCAGGTCCTTTCTTATTACTATTATTATTATTATTATTACTAGAAGAGGAATGGGGTATTATTAGTGTGGATGTTGTTAGTCGCCGCAGAGCCTCTACGGTTGCATCCACCGCCGCATGCCAACGTTCACCGCCCCACGCCGCACGCATAACGTACGAGAGGGCCCACGCACAAGCCACAAGATCTGCACGCGGGTGATCACTACAAAGATGATTATTATTATTTTTACTAATGTGAGGATGACTGTGTGTGTTATCACTACAGGGAAAGAGGAGCCCACGCTGTAATGCCGCAAACGTCACTGGCCGCAAACACAAATCCATCACTAATGCACCACGTGGAGGAAAGCCGGCAGTATTGTTATTATGATATTGATCAGCAGACTCACCAATATACACAATCCTCTCATTCTCCCCAGTGAGATTGGTATCCCTATCACTATCACTATCACTATTATTATTATTATTATTATTATTATTATTATTATTATTATTATTATTATTCATATGTGTTCTAATAGTATCTGGGGTACGATGAATACGCACACCGCACACATCCGGCCGTGATTCCGCAATTGTCCGCACGACATTCACTACACACTCACGCAGCATCGCCTCCTCCGCATCGTAACAGTAAACAACACCAACAGACTTATGCCGACAAAGCATACTCGCAATACGTCCAGTCCCACAACCAAAGTCTAATACATGTAATAATCCCTCCTTTTTCTCTAATAAAGAAGAAGAAGAAGTAGGAACTTCTGAATACCCATCCTTATTATTATTATTATTATTATTATTATTATTATTATTATTATTATTATTATTATTGTGATTCTCTTCTTGAAGAATAGTTAAAACTTCATGTAGGTAATCCTGTAATGCCTCACAGTTATGTCGACGCATAAGAAGATCATATTGTTTTGGGAATCGTTTATACATTTCTAAAGTTCCCACTTTAAATGGAGGCACTTGAACTTCTTCTATGAGTTCCTCTTTCATATTCTTCTCCTTCTTCTCCTCTTCTAAGGGATCTGTACTTCTTATCATACTCCATATATGTTGTAGTTTCTGTCGTAGTTTAGATGAGATTATAAACTCAGAGAGTGATTCCACTAAATTGGAATTATTATTATTATTATGATCATTATTCGTTTTATCGGCTAAAGATGCTTCTCGGCCTATTTTACGTTTTTTTAATCGATGTTGTTTTCTTTCTTTATTATCTCGTTTCGATGGATGTTTTTCATATTCTTCTTCTTGTGTTTTTTGATCTCGTTCGGACATTGATAAAACTGTATCCCTATCCCCTTTTTCTTTATTATTATTATTCGTTTCGTCCGTTAAATGAAGTGACGCTAAGAATAAAAAAAGAAAAAGAATAAATAATAAATGAAATAAGATTTTAATACAGTCAAATAATAAACGGTGATATTAAATAAATGACGAAACAAACAGAGAAAACGAACACATAGAGGGATATATATATAGAGAGAGAGAGATAAGTAAATACACAAAGGGTCCATACTTTCAGAATCCCATCCATTATGTGTACCTAATTGTATCACAATTCTCACAAGAATATTATTCAGTACTTCATAATACTCTTTTCTCTCTTTATCTATCTATCAATCTCTCTTTATAAACTCTTTATATGTATTTATCCTTTATCCCTTTATAAACCTGCTGATATATCGGATAACACCGTGATGGTATACTCTGTATATATCCACATACACACAACATATATATAAAGAAATGAAGAGAAATAATAAGACGAACGAAAAAAAAAAAAAAAAGAAAGAAGAAAGAAAGAAGAAAGAAAGAATAGAGATGTAAATGCAAATAAATTACCGTAATGTTTTTTTTTTTTTTTTTTCTTTTATTATCGTAATCGGTGAATCAATGTACGTTGTTTACGCCATTCCAATTCCTCTCGCTTCACCATTGCATACACCGCACGCTCCACCAGTTTCACATCAAATCCCATTCGTGCCATTTCCGACAAGAGTCTATTCTGTTCCACTGTCGCTCCCAAAGCCACTCGCCGCCGAAGCGCCTCTTCAATGCGAAGAACTAATTCACTCTGCGAAGCCGTCATGGTTTGATCAGAGACACCACTTTTAATGGCGTCTACAGTAGCCGTTTTAAAGAGACGTATGGCCTCTTCCGCATCTGCACGACTGGCAAGAACATCCAAACGCATACGAGCCATGGATTCTGTAATTCGAACTAAACTTTCTAATTGACGTGCGGTGATTTGAATAATAGGAGTTTGTGGTTTAGCCCCAGATGCGGTATTAGAGGAAGAGAGAGCTTCTAATGTTTGTTGATGAGCCTCTCGCCTTACTTGTACGTAAAAGTCTAACAATACTGACATGGCATCTTCTGAAATACGTGGATGCCGTGTGGATCGGGCGTAGGAAACATATTTTGTAAAGAAGGAACGTTCCACAATTCCATTTAAAGAAGATCCTGCAAAAGATGAGGAAGAGGATGATGGTAATAATGAAGAAGAGGAAGAAGTGGAACCTCTGGTATGTCGTCCACTACCACCCTTATGTAGATTTACTACATGTTGAGCTAAACGATTATCAATATCAGGATTACGTGGATCGATAACTTTAAAAATAAGATCAAAACGAGATAAAATAGAACTTTGAAAATCCATTTGTTCTTCATTAGAACGTAATGGATCATAACTTCCAAGAGTAGGATTCGCCGCAGCTAATACACTAGTTCTACTATTTAACATTGTTGTAAGATTTGCCTTGGCAATAGAGATGGTTTGTTGTTCCATCGCTTCATGAATAGCCACTTGATCTTGATCTCGCATCTTATCAAACTCATCTATACAAACAACACCACCATCTGCTAATACCATAGATCCCGCTTCCAATACAAAATCTCCATTTCCATTAGAAATAACAGATGCTGTTAAACCAGCTGCACTACTGCCTTTACCAGAAGTATAAATACCAATTGGGGCAACTTTCTCTGTAAACTTTAGTAATTGAGATTTCGCCGTAGATGGATCACCAATAAAAAGTACATTCATATCTCCACGTAAATAATTACTTCCTTGTTTTTTTCGTGTTCCACCAAAGAGAAGACACACAATTGCCTTTTTCTGATCTTCTAATCCAAAAATAGCAGGATCTATACTCTTTGCAAATCGTTCATATACACGTCCTTGTTCTGCAAACCGTTTAAATGCCGCCTCTTCCTCTGCCTGCCATGATGTTAATGATTGTGAACGTACACGTGAGGAGAAGTTCTGATTGACACTCTGCACAGATGTTCCCCCATCCTTTGCGGTAATATACATAAGACCTACACAACGAAGATACTGTGCTCGTAATCCCGCAGCCCCACGCATTCCTTTACCATTTCTTTTATTCCCTTCTAATCCACCACGTTTCTCTTGTACAGATACAATACCCGCCACCTGCACACGAGATCCAGGACTCACACGATCCACAAGATAACGATCCACCACTACAGTGACATGTCGTGGAAGTTCACCTGTAGGCACATCCTCAGGTAACTCTTGTAATTTAATAATTTGTTGATCTTCATATTCACATTCCATTGGTAATAATGTATACGGATTCGGTCTACACTTACGTTGACCTCCTCCTCCTCCTCCTCCCATAGTTCCTCCCATAGTTCCTCCATTGGGGCGTCCACCATTTTCTAAACAATGCGGTGGAAGATCAATATTACGTCCACCGCCAATATACGTTTTACTTAAACAACTCGTACATTGAATAGCCGCTCTCACACAACGAGCATGACAGGCACTCGCCTTCACAACAATACCACTTATACAAACTAAACGAGCCACAGAAGCCTGAGCTAATTGACGTAATGGTGTCGGTGGAACTCCCCAGTATAATTGTAATTGTACGGTACTTTGTCTACTAAAGGATGGAAATAGTTTTCGCTCTAATGCCAATTCCCATAAGGCGTGTTCAAATAATGGTAATGTTCGTGTTGGTGTTGAGTGAAGGGCATTAAAGAGAGTTCCACTAAACTGTTGCACATGTGACATTTCAACTTCCATAAAGAATAAACCACCAGCTAGGTTTGCTCGCAGCATTTCCATATATAAATGATCATTATGAATACGAAATCGTTCAACAAATTCTTTAAATATTAATTTTAAGTCTACGGCTTCATCTTCTTGTCGCTCCACATCCTCGTCGGCAGGGAGACCACCACCGCGAAAGTTAGTGACTTGCACTAATCCCGCATCCGCCTCCATCAATTATCTCTATTTTTTTTTTATTTTTTTTATTCTTCTCGTTTGGGTTTCAATTAAGTAAAATAAATAAATAAATCTTTCTTATTTATTTATTTTCTATTATATTTATATCTATCTGTAGAAATGTAAAAAAAAAGAAAAGAAATACGCAGGTGTATTCCCTCTTTTTTTTTCTTTTTCTTTTTTTTTTTTCGTTAAACAAGTAATCGTTCCTGTTTTTTTATGTTGATAAAAAGAAAAACAAAGAAATCTATGACTCTCCGCACCTCGGGTTTATTTTCTTTTTCTTAGCGGATATTACTCTCTACATATGAAAAAGAGAAAAAAACACCAAAAGAAAAAGAACAAAAAGAACAAAAAGAAAAAGAGAGATCAAACAGAGAAAAACACATATAAACATATTAAATTACAAAAAAAAACCCGAAGAACAGAAATATATATATAAATGAGTGAGAGAGAAAAAAAAAAAATGAAAACAAGAACAATAACAGAAACACATATATGGGAGTATAGTATTAATGTGCGTCTATTTCCTCTTCATTTTATTTACAATATCATCCACTTTGCATTCATTCCTTAACCATCAGTATCATCATTCTCTAATTATATTCATTTTCACTTGAATATACTTACACAAGTGAAAACACATATATTTTTTCTTATTTAACCTACAGAGGCGTTTTTAGCAGCGAAAGCCTTCAACATTTCATGATTATATTCATCAAATGGATTAGCACTACTAAGGACTAACACTCCACTCTCCATCACTCCATTAATACGTTTCTCCACAAGTAATGGGAGTAACCAAACATTACATCCCTCTTGTAAAGTTAAAGGCATTTGATAGTAATCCAGCATATCTTGTACCGGTAAACGACTGGAAAAACTATTCATATAATATCTTACAACCATTAAAAGTGAAATACGTTTACCAACCACTTGTAAAACATTATGAATTCCACATCGTACATAAAACTCTGAGTTTTTATCCATTACAGCATTAAAAAGTCTCATATTAGAACTTTGAACAGCAACAATTAAATCATCCAATTCTGTTAAATTAAATAGATCTTGTTCACTTACTGGTGGTATCTTTCCTAATGCTAATCCACATGCCGTCATTTTTACAAATAAAAGTCGTTTATTTTCTGTAGCGGTATCTGGTAAAATCACATACGCACGAGCTAAGAGTTCCATCGCCTGTTCAATGGCAACATCTGTAAGAGGTTCTTGTAAAAGATTATGCGCATTATGATGATATAATGTACACCGAATCTCTACCATATCTCCACAGTATTGATGAAATGATTGAATAAACATATTACTATCTGGAGGGGCACAGGAATGTAATAACATTTCAGATAATACATATGCAAAAGAAGCCACACGTTGACGTTCTACAATAGATTGAGGTTCTTGTTGTATTACAGGAACTCGTACATGACGATGAAGTTTAAGAAGAATAGTTTTCATATTTGTTTGAACACTAAAAACACCTTCATCATTCGCTAATTCAAATGTATTTCGTGCTCGTCGTAAAATAAGTGGCAATACCCCATACGGCATATGACTCTCACTTTGATTTGTACATAACTGTAAACAAATATCACAGAGAAGATTAGCATAAGTGCAACTATTTGAAAGCACAGACCATTTATGATTTAATACTATAGATCTTTGACTCCCATCACTTATTTGTTGTGATGATGATTGTTGTTGTTGTTCTCTTTCAGCCGATCGAATAGTACTAGAAACAAAGTTTAAATGACAACCAAGTGCAAAGAGTGCCACCCAATGTTCTCCCTTTGAAAGCGATTGTGAACGACTATCTTTTAATATTCTCCATGCGGATAGTAATTGCTGTAATGCTATTGGAAACTCCGCAGAACCATGACTTCCCACTACACCAAAGAAAGCCGTTTCAAGTATATCTGCAGCCTCTTCACGACGTGTCTCATTTTCATCTAATATTTTATTCATAAAAGCAATAAATACACGTGTAGAGAGAAGTTGCCCTTTTGTATCGGAAACACCCTGTTTATATTGTTCTTGATTAGATGATTGTTGTTGTTGTTGTTGCTGCTGATGTTGATTAGATGGTTGTTGTTGCTGCTGTTGATATTGATGATGTCTATGCTTTGTTGCCTGTGGAGTTGCAGAAGGTGATGTGTGGATGGAGTTTGGCAGAACTGCAGCGCGTGTGAAGATTGACTCCCCGCGGCCGGCGCCTCTGCCGCTCAACACCCCGCCGCCTCTTCCCCGCTTGGCAGCGATAGACATTGGATTAAACATCACCGCAGAATGAGAATCTCTCGGAAATGCAGGCGGTGAACTCCGGGCAAAATGATGATGTTGATGATGTTGATGATGCGATGAATGATTCCAGAGACTTTCATTATTATTATTATGGGCGGTGTGAGATGCGGGAATAGGCGAAACAGCAGCGGGTGAGATTTCTCTATTGTGAAGATTTTGTTGAAATGCAGATCCAGCGAGAACAGAAGGGGCAGTGGCCATCACATTTGTATGACTGTTATTACCTGTGATCCTATTATTATTATTATTACTCTTCTTCTTCTTCTCATCGTTATTAATATTAATATTATTATTATTATTTTTATTATTACCAGTAGGAGTAGTAGTAGTAGTAGTAGTAGTAGTAAGGAGTGCAGCTGGGATACTACTAGCGGTGAAAGGACTCACAGGTGTTGTCAACGGCGCCGGATTGGAAATACCAAACGGTGAAGAAACTGTAAAAACAGGAGGAGTTCCAAATGAAGAGTTTGCAGTATTACTAATACTAGTATTACTATTATTAGTATTAGTTCCTGTAGTGATGGGCACAGGCTTTATGGGGGTTGTGGATCCTACTACACTATTGGGCATAGACATCATAGAGTTACGAAGAAACACCGCCGGTGGAGTAGAATTGTTTGGGGATGTTGAGGCAAACACGGCTGGCATCTTATGTGAAGAAAACGCAGAGGATGGCGGTGGATTACTTTGTTGTTGAGATCCATCTGTGGATGTAGAGAATACACCACCACCAGCACCGCTGTTGAAAGTAGTAGGAAACGCAACGGGAACAGTTGGAACGGCTGTAGGTGGTACTTGTGGTAGTGAAGTAAAGACGGACATTTACTCGTTTCTTACAGCTATATATATATACTTACAGAGAATAACAAAGAAGAGAAAGAGAAAGAGAAAGAAGAGAAAGACATAATGAATAGTTATAACATAGAAATGAATGAGATCCATATATATATATATATATATTAATGAAAAGGGTACGCATTTTTTTTTCTTTTTTTTTACTAAAAAGATTTATATTCATTGTATTGAACTTGTCTAAACATGTAAGGAAGGGAAGAAAAAAAAAAAAGCACAAGCGGAGAGAAAACAACATCAATAAAATCTATGTAATAGGGTTAAAAAGAAAAAAAAAAGCAAACAAAATGAACACACGAACTCTCCATCAATATATATATATATATATGTATACCAACTCCATTATACTCAAAGAACAAGTGGTTCCATTTCCCCCAGAGATTTCCCCGCCTGTACAGATACGGGTAATGGCACAGATAATGATAATAAAGAAGATTGTTCTTCCAATACACTTTTTATCTGTGGTGCCACTATAGAAACACCAGCGTCCGGCACAATATACACAAGTTCATCATGAACACACATCACAAGAGCCACAGCCGCTGCAGGGAAGTGTGGAAGAAATGTATGCCGCTTCTCATGTACAGCAATCATCCCATAATGAAGAATAACAGCAGCTCCGCCTTGAATGGCAAGTGCAATGGCAATTTGTTTCCGTCTATTCCCATCTGATTCACTTGATAAATCACGAACACCATTTAATGTAACACAACGTTTTTGATGAAATGCAGTCATTCGTGTATTTTTTAAAAATGCATGTCCGGCAGGATAACTTTCTTGAAAAGCCTGTAGAAATTGACGAGCATTCAATCCTAAACTATTATTATTGGTATTATTATTATTATTATTATTATTATTATTATTATTATTTGTATCTATGGATGATTCCTGTTGTAATTTCTGTAAACGTTGATCCATTAACTCTGGTCCCATTCCATACAACATTCCATACACCACTACCTTCACAGCCTGCCGCATGTATGGAGTGACTTGATCTATTTGCGGTAATCCCATCAATCGACGTGCAATCTCTGCAAGTATATCTCGTCCACTGCGGAGTTGTTGTATAAGAAGTTCATCTCCACTTAAGTGTGCTAACAGGCGTAGTTCAATTTGGTTAAAATCAAAGGAGAGGAGTGTACATCCGGGTGGGGCACCATAAATATGCCGTGGAGTCCATTCTGGATTACTTAAGAGTGTTTTTGTTATTAATACTGCTGGTGTTGTTGATGTTGATGAGATTGAGTTTGATGAGATTGAGTTTATAGATGGGGGAATTGTACGGCAGAGAACTGGTTTTTTAGATAATGTTTGCAGACTGGGCTTTGAACAGTACAATCGGGCTGTGGTGGTGTGATGGACCGCCCATTTGGGGTGAACAGAGAAGAAGAGAGAACGTTTCCAATTATTATTATTATTATTATTATTATTATTATTATTTTCAATTTGGATAGATTCATCCTTCTTATTCTCATCATTTAATTCTTCTGTTTCTGTTTCTTCCTCTTCTTGGTGTGGAATATGAATAATACGTGCATGAACACTTACACCTTTTACAAATCCATCCATTAATGATCGTCTAAACTCTTGTCTTTCATGTATAGCCAACCATATATACGCTACATTCCCCTTTACACAACCTTGATGAGAAAGATATGTACAAAGTTGTTGGAGTTGCCGTTCATAACTATCATTTTCATTTAACACACAAGTATACTTTTCTCGTAATAACTTTACAAGTTCTGCAGATCTCATACTTCCAATATCTACCTCTTCTACATCTACTTCGGTAATAGTAGTAGTGTTAACTTCTTTATTCCTTCTTGAAGCTATAGATGTTCGTAAAGTCTGCAGAGCTTCATTTCCCTCTTGTGTGAGGGCATCTACTTGTTTATCTAAATCCATTAACATAGAATCCAACAGATGTTTATTTACAAATATACCATGATAAGACATAAGTGCACAGAGAAAACAGACACGAGTCTCTACATCACATACAGTCGCAATAGACATAAAAGTCGTTCCCACTGCAGCCCCACTACTTTTTAATGGTTGTAAATATTCCTCATAATAAGCGTAAAGCGCAGAGAGGGATTTGAGTCGTTCTGTTAATTGAAGTAATGGTAATTCCTTTACACCAGATAATGAAGATTCCGTTATGGATATAGTGGTATGCGTTTCACCTTCGCCTATTCTATTTGTAGTGATAGTAGTTTCTTCTTCTTCTGTTATTATTTCATTCCCCATAGTCTCATCATACTGAGCAGCGAGTTTTGCATTTTGTAATAATAATGCTATTCGTTCCTTTGCGGTGTGTGGAATAAACTCCAATACTTCTTCCATATGTGTACAGGGCGGTGTACGTTGATGTGATCCACATACACGGCCCATTACTGTAGACCATACGTGCACATCCACTACATTACGCAGAGAAACACGGTCTGTGCCGAGAAAGAGAAAAAGCAATCGATAGAGATAAGAGGCGTGCAGGACAATCTTCGTTACCGCAGGAGCAGAGAGAAGTTTGGCGAGAAACACAACAGGTGAACAAATCGTACTATTAGTACTAGTATTATTATTACTAGTACTATTATTATTATTATTACTGTGTGTATAGACTGCAGGAGACTGTAAGGTATAATAAGATTCTCCCCGCACTGTAAAGAAGAGTTGTATAGATGCGTGAAAACTCTGCAGTGCTGAAGTACTCGCCTGTTCCATTGAAAGAAGAGCGGCAGCAAATCGTTCCGGTTCTCGCAATAGTGCTGTGTTGCCATTTAACTCCACATCAATTGCCACTGGGCCTAATAGTCCTTCTAATAAAGACTCACTCACTGAAAGGATATCTTTAAATCGATAGGGATCATATCGCCGTGCAGGGTCTATAGTGGGAGAGGCAACCGTGCAAGGTACTTTTTCTTCTTCTTCATCATCATCATATTCTTCTATTTCTTCTATTTCTTCCTCTTTTACTTCTACAACTTCTTCGACTTCTTCTATTTCTTCTTCTTCTACAATTTCTTCTACATGATCTTTTTCTTTTACTTCTATAACTTCTTCAACTTCTTGTGGAGTCACCTGTTCTCTGCGGGTTCGTTTCACTTCCCTCTCTACATTATTGAATGACTGAACTTCTTCTTCAACTTCTTCTTCTTCTTCTTTCTTTTTCTTCTCCTCTTGTTTTTGTTGTTTTTGTTGAGACTCCACGAGGGAAAAGGCCCAAAAGAGAACGGAATTGTGGGAACCACGCGGTGTTCGTTGGAAACGAAATGACTGATGCATTTAAAAATAAATACCCCTACAAATTATTCTTATTCTTATTGTAATGAATATTAATGATTATATATATATATATTTCTATTAGATTTGGGTATTAAAGTGACTGTAGAGAGAAGAAGAATAGGAGGGGCCAAACACTCTGCCGTCTAATCTTTTCTTTACGTTCCCTGTGGAATGAATTAAATACACCCCGTGGGTTTCCTCGTCAACACAGTTCTCTCTACACAACACAAAAGAAATAAAGAAATAAATAAATAAATAAAGAAAGAGAGAAAGAAAGAAATAAAGAGAGAAAAAAGAAATAATATATACAAGAAAGATACAATTTAGTGTATATACATATACAAAATTATAGAAAAAAGATGATCTTTTTTTCCATTTTCTGTTCTTAACAGCAATAAAAGTGGAAAAAAAAGTAATTGAAACACTTGGAGGTAAATATAAACGCACCGAAAAAGATATAGAGAAATAGAGAGAGAGAGAGAAAGAAAGAGAAAGTTATAAATGTCTCTGTTTTTCTATATCTTTTCTTATTCCTTCTTCTTGTTTACTGTATACAGTTCATATATATATATATATATATATCACTCTCTTTCTCCCTTTTGTTTTGTTTTCTCTGCGGAAATTATAAGCTATCTTCTCTTCCGCTACTACTAATACTTCTCTTTCTTTATTTCTTTCTTGTTGGTTAATGTTGTTATTGATGATGCGTTAACATAAGCGTCTTTTCTCGTACTTGAAGTCTACACTTCCAAAGAACAGTATTTACAATCTTGTATATATATATATATATATATATATATATATATATATATACAGAGAGAGAGAGAAAGAAAATAAATGTTTTTTTTCTTCTCTTCTTCCCTGTATCTTTCTTTTTTCCTTTTCTTTCGTACTTTCCTTCAAACAACAGTATTTACATATATATATATATATATATATATATATATATATATATATATATATACAGAGAGAGAGAGAAAGAAAATAAATGAATGAAGGACTCAATGGGAGTCTCTGAGAAAAAGAAAAACATAAAAAAAGAAAAGAGCAAAACATCGAGAATATAAACACAACAGCACCACAATCATCAATGATGCTATTCATCACAAGATTGGATATATATAGTCGGTAAACCACTCCATATATATATATATATATATATATATATATAAAGAGTTAGATAAAGAACAACTCACAAAACGCAACAAACAAACAAAGAAAGGAAATCATATCCATATAATAAAAAACAGACAAAGAGAGAATAAAGAGAAAGAGAGAAAGGAAGAGAGGTATATACACACATCACTACCCTATTCCTCTCTCTCTCTCTCTCTCTCTCTCTCTCTCTCTCTTTCTCTCTATGTCACTGCCCGCATCTTCACAACGGCCGCTGGCTGCATGGCCGTCTCCACCTCATCACTGAACTCTTCATCCAAATCACTCTGCAGCGCCTCAAACGCCAAATCACGTGCATGTCTGCCTCTCCCATGCAGCCCTGAAGGAAACATTCCTCCACTCATTATTCCATTATTATTATTGTTGGGATTATAATGGTTATTATGATAATAGAGACCATTACTACTATTCCGGAAACCACGCCCTGGTCTATATCGGCCGCAGGTGAGGATGACTAAAATGCCGTTCACAACTCCACACCAACAGCGATAATTTGGCAGGACTTCAGGGAATTGCCGCATGCCTTTATGATAGCGGACTATACTTCCAACCACAAAGTAGATGAGTAACAGGATGAATGCTACTCCTAAGAGGATAAAAGGAAATGGCAACCATGAGGGTCGCTCCATCTTTCCCTTCTTTCTTTACTTCTTTCTTTTCTTTTTTCTCTTGTTTTGCTCGTATTTTTTTTTTTTTTATTTATTTAAGGCGGTTGTTTGATGATGTGATTGTTAGCTGTTTTTTGTTGTTGTTGTTGTTGTTAAGATTTATATTCGTCGTTGTTTTCTTTTCTTCAGTATATATATATACAGATAGATATATATATATATTTCTATTCCCCCCTTTTCCTCTGCTGCTATTATTATTATTATTATTATTATTATTGAGAGAAAGTGAAGGTGAAATGCCAAAAAAAAAAAGAAAAACAAATTATCCACATACAGTATATAGATAAATAGATAGAGTATACATTTATGTGTACAGTCAAGAAAGAGGGAAGGCAATATGGAATGCATATGATGTGGGTTAACAAGAAGATAAAATCGCAAACAAAAAAGAAAACAAATAAAATAAAATAAATAAATAAAAGTAAATTTATTTCAAAAAAAAAATAGTTTGAAGGGTTTCTCTCTTACTCTTCATGAAAGTCAGTTTAGTCACTGTAACAAAGTAAACCACAGCAACAACGAAAAAAAAAAAGAATAATAAGCACATTATTAAAGTATTTCATTGCAATTATTTTTTTTTTTCTTTTTCTTTTTCTTTTCTCCTTTATTTCTACAATCATTATTATATTGAAGGTATACACATAGTCATTATTTTCTTAATACTCGACAATATCAAAGTTATTCTTTCTTTTTTTTTATTTAATGAATTCCTCATTATTCATAAATGTATCACCAAGGGGAAGTAAAGGAATGTAGAAACACACATTCGACACATTTATTATTATTATTTACATATATACAAATATATCCAAATATATATATATATTTCTCTTTTTTTTTCTTTTTTCTTTTCTAAACTTTGCACCTTCTTAAAAAAAAAAAAAACAATGACATTGTTTTCCCCAATTCCTCTCTCTCTCTCTCTCTCTTTCTCTCTAAATATATTTACGACGGAGAAAGTACAATCGCAGACGAAAGTACCCCACAAGTGCGATCAGTAAAGCCACTGCGGCAAACAAATACACATACAACCACGCCACCGCATTCATATCATCAAAGGAATATCGAATATCTTCATCCACGCTGAGTAGTCGAATGTACACCAATCGAATCTGCATAACGGTGTTAAATATATACTGCATCTGCTGCATAGCCCCACTTGCCTTTCCCACACCTACACCAATGGGACTGGAGGTGCTGTAACTCTGCCGCTTCTGCCGTGTTAACTCCGCCTCCTCCGCATCCATCACATCTAATGTAATGTGCATAGCCGCCGCGGTGAGTGGGGCTTTACTGGAAATGTGAAAACACACCGCGATGGTGTTATCATTCGCCTCATTTACAGTAATCACATCACGGGCATTCGGCACGGCGGTGGGGTGTTCCAACAACGCGCGGCCGTTGCGGGTGGAGACGGCGACGGAGACGAGAGGCGTGAGACTGCGCGGCATGCGGTAGTGGACGATATAACGGCCGGGCTCCGGGAGTTCTGCGGTGAAACACTTGCGGCCCGGCTGTGCAGTGAAGCGGAAGGCAGCGGCGCCCATAATAATAAGATCACCATTACTCCGCGATTGTAGATGTAGTGTGAGGAGGAGAAGGAAGAGAATGGAGAGGAAACGGGAATGAGGAGGACGGTGGTGTTGGGGTTGATATTGATATTGGGGCATTGGCGTTATTTATTTATTTTTTCTTTTTTTTTCTTTTTTTTCTTTGGGTATGTATATATGTATATATGTATGTATATATTGTTCTTCTTGTTGTTGTTTTAATACTACTATGTGTCTTTTTGTCTTTTTTCTTTGCTTCTATACTATGAACGATAATAATAATAATGTATATCTATATACTTCTTCAGCAGGAAAAGAATAAATAAATAAAAGAGAAAGAGAGAAAAAGGGTTATTTATAGTCATAATGAAGAAAAGAAAAGAAAAAAAGATTATAGAAGTATACCATATAACTTTCATTATTATTATTATCCATATCAAATAATAGATAGATATAAATAGATATAAATAGATATAGTGATAAAAGAGAAAGAGAGAGAGAGAAAAAACCGTAAAATCCCACTCTCTGTATGTGATTTTCTCACATATCCCGTTCCTGCCAACGCTGCAGAATGCGATCCGCCTCTTCACTGTTCGTTACGGCGGCGAACTCAAATCCACCATCATCCAACAACGGCACTTCACAGTGTGAAATACCAAATCCAATCACCAGCTCACGCATATACTCCAATCCATACAATTTACACGTCTCCTCACTCAGACTCTCACTTCTATTTATACTACTACCACCATTATTATTATTATTATTATTATTATTATTATTATTATTATTACTATTATTATTCGTATTCCTATCAGAATGTGTTACTTCCTTCATAACTGTATGAAGTTTCTCACTAAGAAGATATCCAACTGCCACCACTTCTTCTAATGGTATTTCTTCTGGGAGAAATACATCCATGAGTGTTCGTGCAGCTGTTGGTTTTCGTCCATAGGCATTTATATTACGATAGTGATCATCCCCAAGTCGTGGACTAAGCGGTGTATTATGTTTATACAACATCATTTCTCTTGTCTGCACCAGTGGACCTAAAGAAATACTTCCAGCCTTCATGCGAAGTATATCACATAATAATAATGCCATTTCCTTCTTTACATCTATCATTTCTTTTGCAGTTCGCATTGTCCCAAGTGTACAGCATGGCACACGTGAACCAAAGAGAGGACTAAGTGCATATTCACGTAATACCTTTGCTCGCATCTCTGGTGAACTACTAGATTGAAATCCACTTGGTGTTGCCCCTTTAGGTACAAAGTCTTCATTATACGGCCAAAAATAAGAACGTCTAGATATATAAAGTGAATTCTTATTATTATTATAATGTGAGTAAAGTGCGGTGTATTCATTTGGAGAACATTTCTTATAAAGTGATGAGGACGGCAGTGATCGTATAGCCGTCATTCGAGATAACCCTAATCTTTCCATTATATATATATATATACCCACGATGTATTTGAACTTTTAAGTAATTCCTTAAGGATATATACTCCTTTAAAATTCAACTCGCAGGACTTCTCACGAAATGTAAATAAACTCTTATTCTCTTTTATTTTCTCTTCCTCTTCTCTCGCTACTCTGTGAATAAATCAAATAAGAAACACACAATACACTCCCCACCCACCCGTCAGGAGGTATCACTTTATGTGTTCTTATTTAAATGTTAACAGTGGAAAGAAAAATAAACGAAAAGAAACAAAAAAAAAAAGAAGAAAAGAAGTATTTCAGTAGATTTGTTCTTCTATTTACTCCTCACAGGAGTAAAGAAGAGGAGGAAAATAATAATAATGAAACAGAAAAACAACAAATCCCGCAATATATTGAAAGATAAACAAATAAATAAAGAACGAAACGAATAAAGAGGAGAAAAGGAGAAAAAAAAAAAAAACGCAAATAAAGAAAAAAAGAGAAAAAAAAAGAACAAAAAAAAAACAGCTACAATAACAATAATAGAAACAAAAATAGTACATATCACCATCCATGTATTTCTTTCTTTCTTGTTAATTTAACTTCCGAGATTAAAAAGGAAAGTGTGTCTAGTTGTTTTATCAAAAAACAATAATAACACCCACACACGTGCCTTTAACATTCAGCATTAAACTACATCTACTGATTAGTTTTTTTTCTTTTTTTTTTTTTTCTTTCTTTTTCTATTTTTTTTCCCATTCTCTTTCTTCTTTCTTTTGTGTTCCCATGAAAAGTAAAGAATTCGCTCAACGCCCTATTATCTTTCTCATCATTTTTCATTTATTTATTTTTTCACTTTTGTTACGAGAGCAAACATATACAGAGAGAGAAAAAGAAAAAAAATTTTTTTTTCTTTTTCTTTGTTCTCCTTTCTTTACCGTATAGCTGTCTATTTTCAGTTCATTTCTTTAACCTTTATCACATTTAAAAATAAAATTTCTCTTCAATTGCTGTTGTTATTTCCGCTCCTCCCGCCCTCACGTTTAACATGTAAAAGGCAAACTGTAGAGTAATGATGCCTAGAAAAGTAGTATTAATTAAAGGCAAACACGAACAAGAACAAACTACAGCTTACTAGTAGGGAATACCACATCTCTCTTTCTCTTTCTCTTTCTCTTTTAATGTAGTGATATCCCAGTACCTATCTTTATCATATTTGTTTATAAATTTTTTTTTTATTATTTCTCTTTCTTGCATTAACCCTTTTTTCACCCATTTCTCCCAGATGCTTTCTACCTCATTCCTTCTTCTTCTTCTCCTTTGCATTTCAACCCATATATATATATATATATATATATATATATATAGTAGTTGTTTACTTGGTGGCATCAATCACCTGGACGAACTCCGGCTTCAATGAGGCTCCGCCCACCAGAAAGCCGTTAATATCGGCCATCTGATATAATGTACGGGCATTCTTCGCATTCACAGATCCTCCGTATAAAATGCGGAGCTGCGCAGCGACATCACCGCCCACTTTACTCTGCACCCATTGGCGCAGAAGGGCGTGGACTTCCTGTGCCTGCTGCGGTGTCGCCACGCGGCCGGTGCCAATGGCCCACACCGGCTCATACGCCACCACCAATCGACTCCACAGAGTTCGCTGTTCACTCTGCGGCAATTTCTGCATGCGTGTTAAGATCGCGGCGAGTTGTGTGAGCACAACCGTAGCGGTGCGGCCAGACTCCCGCTCCTCAAGCGTCTCCCCCACGCAGGCAATCACGTAGAATCCAGCCGATAAGGACTGCACAACCTTCTCGGCAACAATCTCGTTGGTCTCACCATAGTAGGCCCGTCGCTCGGAGTGGCCGAGGACCACCCAATTAATACCAAAGTCCTTCAGGATGGGAAGAGAAACTTCTCCCGTGAAGGCACCACTCTTTACAATGGCGTTCTGCGCCGCAAGGGCAAACTTTGGGTGTGTGAGTTTTGCCTTCGTCATGGGAATGTGAAGGAATGTTGGGGCCACCACACACTGCACATCATGATCAATCTGTGCGGCATTAAAGGTTTCAATGAGAGATGCAAGGGAATCTTGTGTGCCGTTGCACTTCCAGTTGGCGGCCGCAATAGGTTGTGGTTTGCTTGTCATTGTGTATTTGGGCTTTTTTTTTTCTTTGGTTGTTATGGAGTTTTCTTCTTTGATTGTATTTTACTGAAGAATTTGTTTTTTTTTATTATTATTATTTCTTTTTGTTTGGTTTTTAAGCTTGTAAGATTTGCTTTCAGGATATATCGGGAGTGTAATATCGTAATATGTTTGATATAGGTAGGTGAGAATGAAAGTATATATATTTTTTAGGGAAAAAAAAGAGATAATAGAAAAAAATAAAATAAAATAATAACACATACATATACATACATTAAAGAAACAAAAAGGAAAGAAATAGATAAATAGAGAAATAAATATACTCTTTCCAAGCATCCATACTTATAATATACCATCTTTGTACAGTACCTTCTACATGTTCGTCAGAAATGAAACAATAAAGAAAAAAAAAGAACAAGAAACAGAAATCTATATATAAATAGGTTATGGTTTCTTACTCTCTTTTACCCCGTTTGTTTCCTTCTATGCTTTATTTTTCTTTATTCACGCAACTGCTGAAGGATGCTGCCATCAACAAATCCTTCTGCAATAATTCTCATCTACATCTGTAACACAGAGAGAAAAAAATATTCCTCTTATCTGTGCATCTGAATAGGTATATCTTTCTCAATCCCCTTTTTCTTCTCTCTCCTTTTCTCTCTCTCTCTGTGATACCGCACATCTCAGACACAACTCCCCAGACACAAACACACATACACACACGACCACCACCAACATTCACTCATTCATTCATACTGTTTTTTTTTCTCTTTTTCTTCACTTCACACCCTTTTTTTTATTTCTTTTGCAACCCTATTTTCCATCCATCAACCGCACAACTCATGTCTTTGTGGGATTACACACAGTCTGCAGGTTAGCCGTGAGGGTCTGGTATGTACGACGAAAGAACGCCACCTCTTCATTATGCTTCTTTTCCTCTTCCAGTCGACGTTCTTCTTCTTGTTCTTGAATAGTCTCACAACGAGATTCCAATTCCTCCACCTGTTGTTTCAATTCCTCCTTCTCACGCTCTAAAGCGCGTATCTTCGCTTCCATCTCAATCTTACTTTGTTCCGCCTGTAAGGCCTTACGCATACCAAAAGCCGCACTGCTCTCATAAAGGGAACGATAGGCATCAAGTGTCATACGGAGTTCATCACGTACACGCAATAATAATAAACCACGTTCTGCACAATTTACTGTTACTTGACGAATAAGTTCCTCAAATACCTGTCGGTATAATTCTTCACGAACAGGACATATTCCAGTTTCACGTGCTTGTCGTTCCTGTAATAGTGAGTCCAGACGTTCTTGCAGATTGATCACATCCAGTCGTGTGGCTGGAGTACTGGAGACAAACTGCACCCACTTTTCACCTCCTTCCTCATACTCCCGTGGTGGAATAATACTGTACAATACATCCTCTGGCTGTGGGGAAACCTGTGGCCCTAATCCTGTTCGCTTTTTATCCCTCATCGCCTTTTTTCGCTTCACCTCAGAGAGAAGGACTGGCGTCTCATACTTCACCAATGTTGGTCGTGAAGAAGAAGGTTGAACAGACATAACACACACAGATTTCGCTCTTTTCTTTTCTTCTTCTTTTTCTTAATATATCTTCACCTTGATCTACGCCTTTTATTGTCACCTCTCTCGATTCACTCTATTCGTCCTTTTTACTGTTTTAAAGTTAAATATACTTCACTCCTTTCTCCACTGCTAAATAAGAGAAATAAAAAAATAGAAAAAAAAACCTCAAGAGTAGCACAAAAGAGAAAAAATAATGGATAAGCCAAATAAGTTTTTTCTTTATTTTTTTCTTTCCTCATCCATAAAAGTAGTAGTACACCCTTTTCATTTTCATGTTGTGGTTTCGGGCCACTTCCTTTTAACGAAAAAATGTCTCCAATGTCTTTCTGAAAATATGGGTATCGCAATCCCCTTTTTCTTTTCTTTCTTTGATTTTTTATTCTCCACCTCTGCCTTCACTAGTATATTTCGCATCCTTCTCATTCTTCTTTTCTTTTTTTTTTTTTCCTTTTCAACCTATTGCACTTCCCAGTATCACATTCACGCAAACCTCTATCCACCTCTCCTTTTTCTTTTCTTCTTCTTTCCATTCAACCTATTCCCAATTCCCCTAATACGGCCCACTAGTCTTGTACTTTCCTTGTTTCTCAACATCATGAAAGTCCCACCGTGTTGGCTTTCGGAAATCGTGTCGGGTCGGGAATATCTCTGGCATTGGTCCTGCGTACACCATATCATACGAGGGATGTTGTCCACGTGCGTATTGTTTGTACTTGCGCTCCCACGGTGTTGGGAACTCTGGCGGCCGCATTGGATTCCTCAAATCCCGCCACTCCGCGGTGTAGCCCCGCTGGTG